GCTTCCCAAGTCTCTAGACACGAACCTAAGTCAGGAGCAGTCTCTGTTGCAAAGACAGACAGACGTGGGACTGGGCTCTCCCCGCGCCTGCTGGCTGACCGTTTGCTCCCTGCATCTGCAGAGCGGGGCCCCTCCCAGACTATCCAGGCCCGCCTGTCTCTCGTCACCAGCTCCGCTGCAGAGCCGGTCAAGACGCCCTGCCCCTTAGGCACATAACAAAAATGCTTCAACTTCAGTTAAAAAGAACAATGTTATTCTTTACAACTCAAGCGTAAAGGTTCAGACCATACCCTACCAATTTTTTTTTTAAATTAATAACCTGTTACATCATTATATAGAATGAAAGCCATCTAAAAGACTCCTGAGTCATTCATCCCATTTACTACACTTCCAACAAACTTGGTAGAGATCGGCTAGACGGAAAAGGGGAAAAAAACCACATTCATTTCTTTAGGGGACTCCTGTGAGCCCCACAGCAAGTCCAGGTCATGAGACATCAGTCCTGCGAAGAGCTGAGCCACAGGCAAAAGCCGCCAGCAGGCACAGCAAACTTCCCAATCACAATTAGTTGTCCTATGCAAACTAACAAGAATATTGGCTCTACTGCCTCTCCGACTTCTCCTGGACTGAGGCCCTCAAGAGAAGAGCACAAGCAACTCAAGGAACATTCAGAAAGAGCGGCCGGAAGGATGGCATTTCGTCCCAGGACACGTGGAGTCCTGACAGGCTCAGCGGAGGGAAGAGCTGAGCCCATCGCGTGAGTGTAACACACGAGCGTAAAACCTCCCCGCGTGCAAGCTGCGTTTTGTTTTTGTTTTCTCTCCATATGGTCTCTTAATTTGGCTTTTAATTTGCATTTCCCTCATGATTTCAATGATCCTGTAATGGGCTTACTTGCTACTGTCTGTTTGAATCTCCTGCATGCTTTTACCTGAGTCGTTTTCTTTGTATTGAATATTGAGATCGACCTGTATCCTGAATATAAGAAGAAATCACATATTCTGATTCTCCCTCCGTCTGCGGACTGTCTTTTCATTCTCCTAAAGATGCTCGGGACGTTGTAGAAGTCTGTAGTTTTGGTAAAGCGTAAGTTACCAATTTGTTCTTCTGCGGTGTGTGCTCTTATTGCCACACGCAGGAAATTGCTGCTAACCTGAGACCACAGAGAGCTGCTCCTGGGCCCTTACCTAGAAGTTTTATAGTTTCATGTTTTAAATCGAAGTGTATGGTCCATTTTATGCTCATTTTCAGTGAATAATCTATTTTATGATCTATTTTAAGTTAACATTTGTATCTGATGTGAAGTACAGATTTTGCATATGGATATCCAGTTGTTCCACCATCATTTGTTGGTGACTTTCCTTTCTCCATGGAATGTCCTTTGTCAAAAATAAGACATCCATATACATGTGGATCTACTTCTAGACTCTCCACTGATCCATTTGTCTTTCTCGGTGCAAATACCATACTGTCTTGATTACTATAGCTTTATAAGTCTTGAAATCAGGCTAACTTTTCCCTTCTTTTTGCAAGTTGCTTTGTCTATTGTGGGTGCTTTGCATTTCCATATACATTTTAGGGTCAGCTTGTAAATTTCTACCCAAAAAGGCCTGCTCGGATTTTAATTGGGATTACATGAAATCTATAGATCAATTTAAAGAGAATTTAATCCATCTTTTAAGAGACACAACAGTGGCTATCTCTTATCTCTGTTAATGTAGTCAAGTAAAGGTAAGGGCAAGTCCATATTTCAGGGCAACTATAAAAATTTTGACAGGTCCAAGAAGCTAGGCTGTTTCAAACAGGACTAAGAATCCCCAATAAGAATTCATTTATGTGGTACCCCACAAGTCTCTCAACGACACTGTAAATAAGAGATCTTGGCCCAGAAGCCCAGATATTTGTGTGTTGGTACATTCCTTCCTAAGACTAAGCAAGGTATTTTCAAGATATTTTGAAGGCTTTTTTAAAAATTGAATTTATCGGGGTGACACTGGTTAATGAAACCATACAGGGTTTAAGTGTAAAACTCTATAACATCATCTGCACACTGCACTGTGTGCTCACCACCCCAGGTCAAGTCTCCTTCCATCACCACTTATCCCCCCTTTACCGCTATCTCCCCCATCCCCTTTCCCTCTGGCAATCACCATACTGTGGTCTGTGTCTATGAGTTTTGTGGGGGTTTTCCTTAATCCCTTCACCTTTTTCACCCAGCCTCCCAATTCTTTTCCCTTCTCACACTTGTCAGTCTGCTCTCTGCATCTATGAGTCTGTTTCTATATTGTTAGTTTATTTTGTTCATTAGATTCCGTATATAAGTGAAATTATATGGTCCTTGTGTTTCTCTGACTGGCTTATTTCACTCAGCATAATACTCTCCGGGTCCATTCATGCTGCTGCAAAATATAAGATTTCCTTCTTTTTTATGGCCGATTAGTAGTCCATGGTGTAGATGTCCCACAGCTTTTTATCCACTCATCTACTGATGGGCACTGGAGCTGCATCCAGATCTTGGCTACTGTAAAGAAAGCTGCAGNCTTTTTATCCACTCATCTACTGATGGGCACTGGGGCTGCTTCCAGATCTTGGCTACTGTAAAGAAAGCTGCAGTGAACATAGGGGTGCCTATATTCGTTTGAATTAGTGTTTTAGGTTTCTTCGGATATACTCCCAGAAGTGGAATCGCTGGGTCATAAGGCAGTTCCATCTTTAATTATTTTGAGAAAACTCCATACTGCTTTGCACAGTCCACATTCCCACCAAGAGAGCACCCAGCTTCCCTCTTCTCCACACCTTCGCCAACACTTGTTTGCTGATTTACTGATGACAGCCATTCTGACAGGCACGAGATGATCTCTCGTTGTGGTCTAAATTGGCATCTCTCTGATGATTGGTGACATTGAGTATCTTTTCATATGACTATTGGCCATCTGTAAATCTTCTCTGGAGAAGTGTCTATTCAGGTCCTTTGCCCATTTTTTAATTGCATTGTCTTTCTGGTGTTGAGTTATATAAGTTCTTTAGAAATTTTGGAATTTAACCCCTTAACAGATGTATCATTCGTTCTTTGAAGTCNTTAATTGCATTGTCTTTCTGGTGTTGAGTTATATAAGTTCTTTAGAAATTCTGGAATTTAACCCCTTAACAGATGTATCATTTGTTCTTTGAAGTGGGTTAGAAAATCAGTGCTGCAGGGTACTGAGCAGTAGCTCAGCAGCCTGACGGAGGAGATGCACAACTGCAACGTGGTCATTACCCCAGGATGTAATTTACCCTTCCAGCACAAGCTCCTTCCCTCCACAGTGCCTCAGCTCACTGGAGCTTGGGGACAACCAACTACGGTTCACCTTCCATTGAGTTTCTTTCGAAATGCATACAATGGTGAAGCTTCAAACCCCAGCCGGCTCCATCACACTGGGCGTTGCCCTGTGCTTGGATAGGCCCTCTCAAAAGTATTTAAGATAATTACACAGTTGTGGGGTTTTTTTTTGGGGGGGGGAGGCAATTTGGTTAAAAAGGGCACAGGTAAAATAAAAGTGCTTAACGAAGTTAAAATCCAATCCCGATGCCCACATGACAATATTATAATAGATATTTGTAGCACAATACGAACACCGACAAAATCCAGGACTCCATGTTAAAGATTTGGGACTTGGTTTATTTGGGGCTTTATGCTGTAGGAATTCAGATGGGCCAAGTCACTGATACAGGATGGGCCAAGCTTTCCAGGTGGTGTGTTTCGAGCTAAGACCATTCTCCTCCGCTACACATTTTCTGGTTTGTGTTACCCTAACTTAGATCTAACAATACCTGGCAGAAAGCCTGTGGTATCTGAATAAACTTTACCCCTCACAGAGTCTCGTAAGAGGCTGTCATTTGAAATTCTACACGATCTCCATGTAATTCACATCTTAATCACAATCATTCAAGGATGGTATATGCACTAGGTAAGCGGTTTTCGTTTGCACAACGTGGCAAAAAATTGCATATGAGTACTTTCCAGATATCCTGTGACAAGGCACACGACTAAATTATTTGAATGATCTTAGTGGAAATTTCTGAGGCTGATTTCCTGCAGATGACAGTGTGTGAGAAGTTGTGTTCAAATGTCTTCTTACTGCTCAACCTGCCTCCTCAGCGCTGGTTCTCCAAAGGCGTTATAACCAAACTATTCAAAGAAGAGCCTGGCATCCAGTACAGTGTCTCCAGGGAGGTATGGTTCAAAGGGTCTGAGACGCTAACAAAATCCACCTCCTGGAAACTCACTTTTAATTGAATACCATGTACATGCTTGAGGGGCTAAGTAGATACGAGCTCATGCAAACCGAAGATTTATGCAAAAAGGGAGGGTAGTTCCCTCAAGCTAATAGCTCAAAATTTGGGGGGTAATAGAATTTGAACTTTCAGGGTTTATAGAGTGGGATGTTTTCTTATGGAAAGCAAAAGGCATGCTCTTGAGGCACTTTACAAGTCTGGTTCTAACTGATGTGGGGTTGTCGTCCCGCATCCTACACCTACGTCCATTCTCCAGTATGTGGGCCTCCCGACATCCTGATAACACACTGAACAGATTCTGTGTTTGTTTCTACCCAAAGTAATAACTAATTAAAGGTAAAAAAAAAAAAAGCGACAACTGAAATCATGGAACATTTCCCACTGACGCTGCACAGTTCATGATCAAAGACGCACATTCCATTCCATCAAAATCAGCAAGTCCAGGATCAGCTTCTTACAAAGTTCACAGTGAAGAATGGTGGCGGGAAAGAAAGGATAGGATGCATTTGGGATGGAGAAAGCGTGGTGGGGGGAAGACAGACAACAGTGATGTGTCGATTATTGAAAAAGGGGTACCAGTGCTCATGAAACGTAGTGAAGTGTTTTATCAGGGTATAATATAAGCATATAGTAACAACCATGATTTCGGTTCTAAGTAAATGCTAACAAGCTGGCATGAAATTGCACATCTATGGAAAATGTAACGAGAATGATGCCCTTACCGTCTGCTTTCTTGGAGTCATTTCCGACATTGGATGGATCCTTCTTGTCTCCCTTATTTTTACCATCTTTCAAGTCACCTGCAAGTAATAAACGTGACAAAAACAGAATATGTAGACACCTGAGGAGGAAGTTATAAATAGCTTTAAACCTGTCAAGGCAAAAAAAAAAAAAAGAAAAAACGCACAGCATAATTTTAGTCACAAGGGGGTACGTGCCTGATGGGAACATCCTTTAGACCACAGATTGGGTCCTGGATGTTGGCTTATGATCTGGGAATTGAGACTGAGCAGGGCTGTACTTAAGGCAATGGCGTTGATCCTCAAGAAAGGCAGTTCAGCTTTATCCTTAGGCTGTGGAGTGAGGGAAGCCTGGGTTAAATGTAAGTGAGGTCAGTGAATAGCTTTTTAACTTTTATGTGCCTCAGTCTCCTTACCTATGAAATGGGGACATTAATATTTATTTTATAGGCATAATACATGGACAAATGCATTTCAAGTATTGAATGTGGTATCTGACAAATCACTCAATGACAGTTATTCTAAAACAGAGCTATAAATGGCATTCTAATTAAGAAGCTTATTGAAATATAATTTGTAAATGTTATAAAACACTGTGCATACAAACGTAGAATGAAAACATCCAAAAACATTTAAATTTATGAGAGAATGAGAGGATAGTAAGGATGGTTCCAGAAGTACTTAAGGAACTGGGTATTCATAGGTATTTTAGAAATATGTTAAAATAAGATCGTTAAGTTAGAGACAAAACTGGTTATGTCCCACAGGGCGATAAAGCCATAACCTTTGGGGTTATCTCCTCCACCAGTGAAAAGTCTACAAGTGAGCATGTAACTTCACAGTACTGGGGCTTGAAATAAATAGTAAATGACAAAGTTGAACAAAGTCACATCTCCTAGAATAGGGGGGTCAGCAAATTATGGCCCCTGAGCATATCTGGCCTGTTCTTTAATTTTATAAATAAAGTTTTATTGGAACATGGCCACACCTTCATTTATATATTGTCTAGGGTTGCTTTCCTGCTGCCCTGGCAGAGTTGAATAGTTGCAACAAAGATGCATGAAGCCAGGACTGTTAACTATCCAGCCCTTCACAGAGAAAGGTTGCTGGTCCCTGCCTTCAAGAAATAATACCCAGCCCAGCTGGGGTGGCACAGCGGTTGAGCATCGACCTAGGTAGGATCCAGGAGACTGGGGTTCGATTCCCGGTCAGGGCACATGCCCGGGTTGCAGGCTCAATCCCCAGTTGGGGGCGTGCAGGAGGCAGCCAATCAATGACTCTCTCATCATTGATGTTTCTCTCTCTCTCTCCCTCTCCCTTTCTCTCTCTGAAATCAATAAAGACATGTTTAAAAAAAAGAGAAAAAAAGAAAAGAATCTCCAGGTGGATCTATTCAACAGTAGGCCAATGCGACTTGAAAAAATATGACGCCGCTTCCCCCAGCATTATTCTCAAGTGTTGAATATTTTTCTTACCAATTACCACTAATAGCTTTCTTTTTAGCTTGCATAAAACCAAGAACACATTACCACTAAAATACTGGTACTTAGTGAAGCCAAAAGGCCCTAATAAGAATTGCAACCAGGAAGGAGCAAGCAAGGCCCAGGACATACTAATCTTTCTTGTTTTCTCTGTGCCAGGCAGTGTGCATCACTTCATTAAATTCTTATACCAACTCCACTATGAAGGCACCATTATTGCCAGGAGGTAAATGCATCAGTGTTTAATTCACTAAACGCTCAGTCTGTTAAATGACAAATTCACTGTGCTGAGGGCAGTGACTGTCGCCTGCCTGGACTTCATACACTCCCCCGGCCCTACCTCTGCCCCTGACAGTGCGTGTGGTCTCCCTCTGGCAGCTAAACTGCCCCTCTTGTCTGCCATAGACCTGGTTAAAGCCATTTGTCTGACAGTTTTTGAACAAATGGCCAGTTGATCTTTCTACAAAGTGGTTTTGCTTAAATCAACTTTGCAAAGAATTGACGTGAAATTCATACCATCCCCTTGCTGTGGACCCACAGCGTAAACAGAGGAACTTCCCGCATATACACAGATGGGTCTGATCCTAGAGACCAGCCCCTCAGCTACTCTATTTTGCGACTTCCCTGTGAAGCTCAAGTTTTAGATCTCAAGTTTCTGTTGATGCTGCTGTTTCTAACTGCCTTCGGCCTTCAGATTTGCAAATGGTTATCTAAGACCAATTCAAGCCCATTTTTGGCTGTGATGTATTCCTCAAAGGACTTTTAATGAAACGTGACAAATCCTAAACTACCTTAGAAGTCAATAAACTCTCCAGATTTCCTCATCTTAGCTCTGAAGTGGGATGTAGTGGCTGGAGGGATGGGG